TCTTTGTTTTCTTCCTTCCTTCATTCCATTACAGTATAAATATAAGATGTAAATGAGTCTAGTGTGTTAGTGCGCTTTTGATTGTACGTGTGTTAGTTGTATCCTGTTAGGTGCAAGTATGACTTTATAATCGTCTTAGAGATTATATGTGGTTTAAGGAGTTGTGTACAGGTGCCAAGTTGACAAGGAGTGGACTGTGATGGTTAAGGTTGTGTGGCAACTTGCCTGGGCCATGATTCTCAGTCGTTTGTCAGTTATGTAATGAAGTAGTTTAGCAGTTATGTAATAATGTAATTTGGCAGTTATGTAATGATGTAATCATCCTCCACTTTGCGATCTGATGTAGTCATTCCCTATTTTATGATCTGATGTGATCAGCCTATCAGTTGAAAGGCGTTTCCTTGGGGGTGTGGCCTGCCTCCAATATATAAATGGGCATCCTGGCAAAGCTCCTTCTCAACCTTGCACTCTTCTTGTCACCTGACCTCTGGTTCCCTAAAGAGTAAAAGCACAAGTGCCCAGAGAAGTGTGCACACATTCATGTTCAGAGGCGCACGTTACAAGGTCCTCTGTCACTGGGGAATATTGAGAAGCCCAATGAGAGACTGGATAAATTATATCCACATGATGGAATACCATGGCATCATTAAAAATTATGTACACAAATGTGTATTTACTGACAAAAAAAGACTTTCATATCGTAGTGTTGAAAAGGAAGTTTCCTGCGAGTCTTGTGATAGGCAGCCTCGCTTGGTGGTCCTGACTTCAGAGCGCACAGGCTGTGTGGAGCCAGGCATATGGACCCACTAGCTCAACCAGACTGTAGGCTGGTTAAGAAAACGTTCTAAGCCTCAGTTTTGTCATCTGTAAAATGAAGATAAAACAGTACCCCTTCACAGTTGTGCAGATTAAATGAGATCATTCACACATTCATTTGACAATTTTTATTGAACATCTCCAGCAGGCAAATAGAAACAGTTCCTGCCCTCTGAGAGTTTCCAGTCTAGTGTGAGAAACAGAGATTAAGCAAGCAAGCAGAGAAGTAAATAAATAACAGGTGGTGGTACGAGCGATCACAGAGGAGCAGTGGTGTGATGAAACTGTAACAAGGGACCGGACTTGGGGAAAGGACTCCGAAGAAGTGACATTTAAGATGAAACCTCCTGTTCTGAGAAGGCAAGAACCGCATTTAGGGTAGCCAGGGAGTAAAAGACCTGGCAGGAATGCACTGCCCTGGCCAGCACTTGGCCTCAGGTCTGGCGCATACAGGGTAGCTATTGTAATTGAAAAGTACAAATCCACGTGCTCACAGGAAGGGTGGAACGGTTGGAGGCCAACAGCTGAAAGTCAGTAGTGGTTATGGTGGCATGGAGGGGTTTGGGGTGACTTTTACTTTCCTCTTGGTATCTCAATATTGCTTAGATTAGTTTTTATAATGAACATATGTAACTAAGAAACAAAGCTTATTGTGAGGGAAAAAAAAGACAAGTATGTGCTCTTCCCTGTTCATACTCGGAAGAGCTGACGTAGGCTATCCCAGCATCACTTTCAAAGAAAAAGAAACCCGCACCATGCCTCCTGGCTCTGGCCCCGGCACTGAGCTGGATGCTGCCACCTTCAATGGTGCTTCTCAGTGCCTCTCACAGGGCTCCTCACTGGGTGTGACCGTCTGCTGGTGGGGCAGGATGCGGCAATGGCTCCATACTGACTCACTCTGGTCATGCGCCCTCCCACCCTAGAGCCTCATAACCTGCCTGAGAGGGCTGCCAGGAGCCCCAGAAGGCGAGATTAGCAGGCACAGCACCTCCGCTTGGTAGCTGTCCCCCTGGCTCCCCGCTGGGCCTGCCAAGTGGCCTGAGGTGGCACCGTGAAGGTGCAGTAGAAAGGAGGCTGCACGGGACCCGGCTCAGGAGAACCTGGGTCTCCGTGCCATTCCCGCTCCGGCCCTGGATCCCACCTCATCATCTCTGCCAGCTGGCCCCCTGTCCTGGTGCGGAGGAGGCAGACGCTGAGGCTGGCTCTGAAGGGTAGAAGAGCCTTCAACAAGTCCGTCCTCAGGACCTGGGGCTTCCTCTGAAAAGGGAGGGATTGGCCTAGGTAACCATAGGTCCCGCCATCGACCATGGCCTGGGCGCCTACGTGTCACTGAAAAGAACTTGGTGTGTTTTTCATTTAAGACCCCTCCCCTTTTAGGCCTTTGATCGCAGCGCCTGTCCTCCCCCACACCCACCCAATCCCCCAAATCCTTCAGGATTTGGTTCTGGTGTCACCTCCTCCAGGAAGCCTTCCTGGTGGATTAAGCAAGAGCATATATCCCACTGTTTAACAGAGGTGGGACAGGGGATCGGAAATAGCAAGTTTAGTTTGGAATAGCTGAAATGTAAGGACCGAAGGTCATCAGGTGGCGACAGGGTGGGTGCCACCAGCTCTGTGGTCTTAGAGGATGAGGCTGCCCAAGCAGAAAAGGAGAGACTAAGGCAGAAAAGACTTCATTTAAGGGACAGGTGATGCCAGAGGAACCAGGGAAAGCTAGAGCAGGCTCAGACCGAGCACACAGAACCAGGATGACCGGTGGCCCAGAGCTGGGAGGGTCACCTCAAGGAGAAGGAGCCATCGCCAGCACCTCCGAGGATGGAGACAGGGAGGCAGAAGAAGGGGCAGGCTGGGATGAGGAGGAGATGGGCTGTGACAGAGTGAGGGTGAGCCTACTTTTCCTACAATGCAGAAAACAGCCCCGGCTAATTAAAGCATAAAAGGAATTCTTACAGCAATGGTTCTCACTGGGGGCGATTTTACTCCCCAGGGGACATCTGGCAAAGTCTGGAGACATTTTTGGTTGTCATAACTGGGGCACTGCTACTGGCATCTAGTGGGTAGAGGCCAGGGATGTTGCTGAACATCCTACAATCACAGGGCAGCCGTCTCCCACACCTGCACACAACGAAGAATTATCCAGCCCCAAGTGCCACTGTTGAGAAACTGCCTTAAGGGATCCTGGGGAGCCTCACTCTCCAGGGGCGCCAGGGATTGGCCTAGAAGCTTGGCTGACAGGAGCAATGTCCTAGACCACAATGAAAACACCACTGTTGCCACCTCTGAGCAGCCCTGACACAAGTCACTGGACTGGTCACTAGAACCACCCTGCATGGCGGCCCCTGGTCCCTGCTGCCACCATGAGTCCACTCAGGGGGTTTCAGTCAGATGACTGGATCCTAGCTGCACAGGGGGCTGGAGAGACACAGGTCCTGGTGCCCTCGGCTCCCGGGCAGGAGGTGGGTGGGCTCTGCTGCAGGAACACTCAGGACGTGGAGTCTGAGACAAACAACAAGCAAATGGAAGGGAGACAGGAGAGGAAGAGGGGACGAGAGAGGCAAGCAGAGCGGTTCTGTTCCTTTGAAGGTGTCACACAGGGAAACGTGGCCCATCTGAGTGCGGAGAGGAAGGAATCAACCAAGGAGAGAGGCTAGGGTGGAGAGGGAAGAGCCCAGGAGGAAGGAGGTGCCAGCTCGGCCCATCTCTTTGGCTCTGCATACAGTGGGCACTCAGCAAATTTATGGGACCAACAGAGAACCGTCAGAGAAGGGCACCTGTCACGGAGCAGTTACTTCAATCTCAGGCACCGCTGCCTGGTGCTGTTGCTGGGTGCCGCTGAGTCAATTCCGACTCACAGTGACCCCATGTGGCAGAGTACAACTGCCCCATCGGGCTTTCTAGGCTGTAATCTTTACGGGAGCAGATCGTCAAGTCCTTCTCCCAGCGAGCCGCTGGGTGGGTTTGAACTGTCAACCTTTCAGTTAGCAGTCGAGTGCTTAACCACTGTGCCACCAGGGCCTTTTACACAGGCTCTTACTGCATCTCCTGAACAGCCGGCAGCGAGTGTCCCCATCCCACTCTGAGATGGGGAAACTGAGGATCTGAGGGAGAGGCACCTGGTTCTGATGAAACAGCCAGGAAGTGACAGATCCTCTGCTAGTCCCAAGTGGCAAAGGTCTTCCTCCCAGCTCTGCTTCAAATGACTGGAATCCTGCCGGTGACGGAGCTCCTAGAAGTCACTCAGTAGAACCCCAGCCAAAGTTGGAGCCACCTCCCCGCTGTCCCGAGGCGTCCTTCAACCTCTACTCAGATTCCTCCAGTTCCTGGAGTCACCATCCACCTTCCAAGAAAGCTAGGTCCACTGGCAGGCAGGCCTGGTTCTTAGGCAGTTCTTCCTCCAGTGAAGGGGACGGCTTAGCACCTCCCCTGCAAGGTCAGCAACCACCACCACTCTCCGGCATGAAGGGGACGGTGACTGGCTAAGTCCCTCTCCAGGGAAGAGCCTGCTCTTGGCCCTAGTTCCACCTGCGGGCGCCAGGACACCAGGCGATCCCAGGTGATAGTAGAACTGCTCCATGGGGTTTTCTTGGCACTAGTCTTAATACAAGCAGATCGCCAGGCCGTTTCTTCTGCAGTAGGTTAGCGGTTGAGCGGAAACAGTGGCATTGTTATCTCATGTAATTCTCACAGAAATGTGGCTGGGGTCACACAACCGGGGGAGGGGGAGGAGGGTAAAGGTGAATGGAGCCCAGGTATATGAGGTCAGCCCCACCACCAGGCCCTACCGCCCCTGCCCAGCGAGAGGGACCAGGTGGTTGCTGGGCAGTTGGAAAGGGAAAACTTGTCCCGTCCTCCTCCCAGCCCCCAGCACTCCTCTCTCTTCTGGCTGCTGCCTGCTCCCAACTCCTCCTGACTGATGGGGGGCAGGATGTGCTGGGCCCTTCCATGAAGCCTCTCTGAGGCCCGGCTTCCCTTCACTGCCCTGAGGATGAGTACTCTGGGAGAGGTCCCAGGAGGGAGGCTGGCCAGGCCCTGGCCTCAGAACCAGGTGAGGGCTGGGCAGGGGCTGAGCCATCGGCAGATCATTCTGCCAATGAAGCTGCAGCACAGGGAGGCTGAGATGAGACCCAGGTCTGGCTTGGGCTGTCAGTGGGAGTCTCCCCTTTTAACAGGCAGGCCCTGGCCAGGCCAGGCCAGAGGGGCAGAGGGAGAGTTCCCACCAGGGCCTTTCCCTCCTCTGCCTGGAAGGCACAGAAAGCATGAAGCTGCCCTGCCCTGCGGCCACAGGTCTCTGCTTCACGCCTCCTGAGGCTACGAGCTCACTATCTGACCAAGCTCAAGGCAGTGAGATGCACAGCCCCTGCAGAGCTGGGGCCGGTCCCCCTGTGGCCCCCAGCTGCAGGCTTAGGGTTTCAGTGCTGCCCGAGAGGACAAGCTGGCCCTGCTCAACCACCGTCCTCAGGCCTCTGAGGACAGAGGCCATGTTGCTCCAAGGTCTCCTTGGGCTGATACCCTCCCAGGACACTTTCCAACACTGACCTTCGCCAAGTGCAGTGCTGACAAGGGACCAGCAGGGCCTGGGCTCCTCCAGATGAGACAGGGGCGTTCTCTTTGCTGCTTTCTATGTCCCTGGGGCCCCTCGCTCCAGGCCCCTCACCATTGCCCACTGGGCGGCTCGCAGTGGCCCAGGCCCAGGCCAGCCTCAGTCATCGATTTGCTGGCTTTTATTGTCTCTGCAGTGGGGCTGGGACCTGTGCCGGTGGCGCTCAGTGACAGTGGGTGGGGCCAGCAGTAGGCATGCCACCTTCTCACCGCACAGCCTGGTTCTGCTGCCCCCACAAGGGTCTCCACCCCAACAGGAGGGCGCAGTGGGGTCCTCTCTTCTCCCCTAGCAGTCTCTATAAGGTCACATCTGCAGCACAGCAGCCTCTGAAGGCCCCCGTGGCACCCTTCCAGGGAGGCCCCAGGAGAAAGTTCAGCCCCATCAGCCAGGCTCAGATCTGGCTCCCCAGGGGCCGAGCAGATGTGGCCTTCCCATCTCACGAGCCGCTCTCACCACACAGTCGCTGCCGCTGCACCTCGGCCACACCGCTGCTGCCTCTTCCTCCCACGTGACCTCCTCCTGGCCCCTCGGACCCTGAGCTGCTCCGGGGCTATAACTCAGACTGGGATCTCGAGATCCGAGGGCCTTTTCGGATCTCTTTTCGCTTCTCCTCTTTCTTCCGGCGTTTTTCCTCTTCTCTCAGAGCCTTCTGGAAAGGGTTGGTGCTGGGAATGAACTGAGGGAAGAGCAGAGTGGCTTGGTTTAGTCTCCTGGGAGCCACACTGTGACAGGCTTGCTCCGGGCCAGGCTCCCTGCCCTCAGGGAACCCCCAGACATGTCAACCACTCAATGGGCTTGGGGAAAACTGCTGAGTGGGTCTTACAAAAGATAAGCAGGGGGTAGCCAAGCAAACGGGGAGGAAAGAGAAGGGTATTCCAGGTAGACAGCCAGATGCCGAGGTGTGAACCTGCAAGGGCATCAGAGAAAGAGGAAACAGACTTCTTCTCCAGGCTGGGGGAGCCGTCCCGGACACGCCTAAGGGAGAAGGGAAGGGGGCCAGCAGCAGGCAGACCCTGACAATGAGGTGGGACTGAGGAAGAGAGAGGACGGTGCCCAGGCCCATGGCTTCCACAGCGAGTGTGAACACAGGGCTGGCAGGGGTGGGAGGAGGTGAACCCGTCGGTTGGGGCGTTCTTCAGTGGCAACCACCAGGCCCTTCTCTTCTCACCCTGCTCTCTCTCTAGACTGTCTCACCTATACCATGGCTTCTGTTCTGCCTATATGGTCAATGGTCAATTATCCCTAAACTGGCATCGCCCCATCTCAACGCCTGTCCCACATGACCACCAGGATGTCCCAAAGGTGCACCCTAACTCAGCATGGCTCAATCTCCCTAAAACCGGGTCCTCTTCCAGCGTCCCATCCCGATGAACACCCGGTCTAGACGAGCATAGCAGAAAACAAGGAGCACCACCATGCCCGCCGCACCCCTTCCACATTGAGTCCATTGCCAAGGTCTGGCTCATTTTATCTCCCAAATCCATCTACTCTCTGTCTCTCTACTGCAACAACCACCACCACCTCCACCTGGGCTAAGCGACCGCCATCTCAATCCTAAGAGTCTCCCAAGGTCTCCCCACATCCACTTTGGTCCCTCCTAAGCTTGGCCTTCAAGGTCCTGGACCCCAGGCCACCTCTCTCCTCCTGCCCTCCAGCAAATCCTGCTCTGCAGTCCCGCCAGTGGCCTTGCTCACCAACCTCATGCATTGCACTTGGCCATCCCCTCCTCTTCCCTAACACCTTCACCTAGAGTTTCTTTGATCCCACCAGGACCTACCACCTGTCGTTCCTATCCCTTTTCACTGTCCATCGTCCCCTGCGTGGTGCAACAGTTAAGTGTTTGGCTGCTAACCGAAATGCCGGCAGTTCGAACCCACCAAGCAGCATCATGGGATAAAGACCCAGCAATCTGCTCCTGTAAAGATTCCATTAACCCATTGCTGTTGGGTCAGTTCCTACTCATAGCCACTCTATAGGACAGAGTAGAACTACCCCACTGGGTTTCCAAGGTGGTAATCTTTATGGAAGATTAAATTAAATTAGAATTAGGTTAGATTAGATTAGATCACCACATCTTCCTCCTGGGGAGCTGCTGCAGGGTTCAAACTGCCAGCCTTTCGGTTAACAGCTGAGAGCTTAACCACTGCACCACCAGGGCTCCTTCTGTAGAGATCATAGCCTAGGAAACCCTGTGGGCAGTTCTACTCTGTCATATGGGGTTCCTATGAGTTGGAATTGGTATGATGGCACTCAACAACAATCTCTAATGGGTCCCTGTGCTGCCTGGCAACCCATGACATTTCCCTGGTCCACTCACCCTCACTCAGACCACGACCTTGCTTCCTATTTCACAGGAAATGGAAGCACTCTAGACAATGTCCAGAAGCCCCAGCCACTGCTCCCACTACTACACCCACCAACCCGTTTGCTTCTGTGCCCACATACTCTGCTGCTCCTCTTGGTCAAGGTTAAGGCTCCTCCACACAAGGCTAACCCCTCCTCTGGGTGCCAGATCCCGTCCCTCCTCACTTCCTGAGGGACAAGACTCCAGCAACCCTCCCCCTCTCCTTCAGCATCAGTTCTTCCCTCCCTAATGGATCATTCTTGATGACATAGAGACCTGCTGTAGCTTCTCCCGTGAGCCTACCAAGCTCCCTTGAACCCACACCCCCACATCTCCCTCCAGCCCTGCTCCCATGGTCTGCTCCCCCTTGCTGCAACAATTCTTCAAAAGGTTTGTCTCTCCTTGCTGTGTCCCCTTCTTTTCCTCTCATTCTCCCAAAAGCCAATCTGATTGTGTTTTTGTTCCCACCACTCCACCAAAGTAGCTTTTATCAAGATATCCGATGGCTTCCACATCGCCAAATGCAGCGGTCAAGTCTGTCCTCATTTCCTTGTCCTTTTGGCAGCGTTTGACACGGCTGATCACTCGCTCCTTCCTGTAATACTTTCTTCACATGGCCTCTGGGAAACTGCTCTCTTGGGTTTGCTACTATCACGCCAACTGCTCCTTCTCAGTGTTGTTTGTTACTTCCTCCTCTTTCCCCCAAATTCCGACTGCAGCTGCGCCCCGGGCCTGGGTCCTTGGCTTACGTCTCCGCCTGGCCTGGCACCTCTGGCTGCGGGTCCAGTCCCATGGCTTTCGATACCCTCTCCATAGGCAGGACTCTCAAGGCTCCTGTGGAAGCCCCACTTCAACCTCTCCCCTGAAATCGAGTCATACACCCAACTGCCGCCTTGACATCTTCATTCACACCCACCCGGTCCAGGAACAAACTCGATTCCCTCCCAATCCTCAGCCTGCTCCTACCATAGGCTTCCCATCTTAGAAAACAGCACAGCCCCATTCTTCCAGATGCTCAGACCAAAATCTTCCTTAATGCCTGTGAGGTACAGAAAGCAACTTGGTCTTTCGTTCTGGGTTCCTGAGTGCCAGATCACCTGGGGGCCGGATATTGACGAAGCCGCATGAGATGTGATCATGGCTACCTGGCAAGGCCCTTGGTGAGGCCTGAGGCTGGGAGAACAGAGACTCACCAGAGGCTCACCTGCAGGCCAAACACTGACTAAGCCTCAGCAGGCATGATGTAATCTATCATGGCTATGCGGTGAGGCTGATACAGGCTCAGTGAAAGTAAGCGCATCCCCTGGGGACATGGAAGTTCTGCCCTGGAACCCCTCCTAGACTCTGCCCCATGTGTCTCTTTCTTTGTATCCTTTCTGGTTATAATAAATAGGTCACCGTAAGTATAGATACTCTATGTGGATTCTATCAGTCTTTCAAGAGAATTATCAAACCCACAGGAGCAGTGGAAGCCAACAGGTCAGAAATTAGCGGCCTGGGGGCCCCTAAACTTGTGGCTAGTATCCTGAGAGATTAGAGGAAAACCCAAACTGGGGAACTCTGGTCTGAAGTGGAAGGAGTGATGTGGATCTCTGCCCTGTGTTTGCAGCTGGTACCCTCTGACCTAGCCCGAGTGGCTGGAGATGAGACAGTACTGCTGGCAGCGTCTGGCAATGCAGACAGAGAAGCGGGAAGGTGAGGACTGGATCCATTTCCAGGTGGGAATTAGACTCATGCTGATCCTGACCTCGCAGTTAGCTATGAAGGTGGGATCTGCCCACTGTGTCCTCTGCTTAGTGCAACGCCCCCCTCTCTCTCACCACGTCTGCTTCATTGGGAAACCCTGTCGGCTCTACCCTCAAAATATAAGCAGAATCTGACCTTTTGTCATCATCTTCACTGTTGCACCTGACTCCCCCGGTTCAAGTCACCATCAACTCCCAAAGGGTCGAGTATAGCAGCTTCCTCACCTGCGTCCCTGCTTCCACCTTAGCTACCGACTATTCTCCACACAGCAGTGTGATCCTTCTAGAGGGTAAGTCAGAGCCTGTCACCTGGTTCTCTAAGTCTCTGAGTAAATGCCAAGGCCCTCTGAAGACCTCTGAGGCTCTCTGTGATCTGGCCTACACTCTGACCTTGTCTCCTCATACCAAAAAACAAAACAAAAAAACACCCCATGGCAGTCGAGTCAATTCGGACTCACAGTGACCCTACAGGACAGAGTAGAACTGCCCCACAGGGTTTTCAAGGCTGTAATCTTTATGGGAAAGATCCATATTTATGCCTATTCCCAAGAAAGGTGATCCAACCGAATGGAGAAATTATCGAACAATATTAATATCACACGCAAGTAAAATTTTGCTGAAGATCATTCAAAAGTGGCTGCAGCAGTACATTGACAGGGAACTGCCAGAAATTCAAGCCAGATTTAGAAGAGGACATGGAACAGGGATATCATTGTTGATGTCAGATGGATCCTTGCTGAAAGCAAAGAATACCAGAAAGATGTTTACCTGTGTTTTATTGACTATGCCAAGGCATTCAACTGTGTGGATCGTAACAAACTATGGATAACATTGCAAAGAATGAGAATTCCAGAACACTTCATTGTACTCATGAGGAACCTGTACATAGATCGAGAGGCAGTCGTTTGAACAGAACAAGGGGATACCGCATAGTTTAAAGTCAGGAAAGGTGTGCATCAGGATTGTATCCTTTCACCATACCTATTCAATCTGTACACTAAGCAAATAATCTGAGAAGCTGAACTATATGAAGAAGAACGGGACATAGGATTGGAGGAAGACTCATTAACAACCTGTGTTATGCTGATCACACAACCTTACTTGCTGAAAGTGAAGAGGACTTGAAGCACTTACTGATGAAGATCAAAGACCACAGCCTTCAGTATGGATTACACTCAACATAAAGAAAACAAATATCCTCACAACTAGACCAATAAGCAACATCATGATGAAGGTGTCAAGGATTTCACTTTACTTGGATCCACAATCAACACCCATGAAAGCAGCAATCATGAAATCAAAAGATGCACTGCATTGGGCAAATCTGCTGCAAAAGACCTCTTTAAAGTATTGAAAAACGAAGATGTGACCTTGAAGACTAAGGTGCACCCGACCAAAGCCATGGTATTTTCAACTGCATCATATGCATGCAAAAGCTAGACAATGAATAAGGAAGACCGAAGAAGAATTGATGCCTTTCAATTATGGTGTTGGCAAAGACTGCTGAACTGCCAGAAGAACAAACAAATCTGTCTTGGAAGAAATATAGCCAGAATGCTCCTTAGAAGCAAGGATGGCGAGACTACGTCTCATATACTTTGGACATGTTCTCAGGAGGGATCAGTCCCTGGAGAAGGACATCATGCTTGGTAAAGTAGAGGGTCAGCGAAAAAGAGGGAGACACTCAATGAAATGGACTGACACAGTGGCTGCAACAACGGGCTCAAGCCTTACGACGACTGTGAGGACAATGCAGGACCGGGGATTGTGCTCTGTTGTACACACGGTCGCTGCGAGTCGAAACCAACTCGACAGCACCTAATGACAACAACAATCTTTACAGATGCAGACTGCCACATCTTTCTCCTGTGGAATGGCTGGTGGATTCGAATTGCCAACCTTTTGGTTAGCAGCCAAGCACTTTAACCCCTGCGCCACCAGGGCTCCCATCTCCGCACACTTGTGCCCAAATACACTCCCAACTTGGGGCCTTTGCACTTGTGGCTCCTTCAGCCTGGGATGTTCTTCCCCGGTTACAGGACTGGCTCCCTGACTTCTCTCAGGTCTTTTCAGTGAGACTCTGTCCAACCATCTGAAATAGCAACCGCAGCCCGGCCTTGCAGCCCAGCCTTACAGCCCGGCCTTACCACCTGGCATTCCTTAACCACCCTGCCCTGCTTTCTTCTCCACAGGCCTTGGCACCACCTATCATATATATTGTAGCTACCGCCTATCTCCTCCAACTAGAATGTAAGTCCCACAAGAACAGGACCTTGTTTTCTTCAGTCTGCTTCTCCAGTGGCTGGGATTCAGTAGGCACTCACTGAATATCTGATGACTGAATGAATCGTGCTACGCCCCTGAGCCTTTTTACAAGCTAGTGTCTGCCTGGAAGGCCCTCTCCCAGCTGGTCCACTGGGCAACTCTTACACATCCTTTAAACCTTAGCCCCAAGTCAGTGCACTCTGTGAAACCTTCTCATGGAGCCCCTTCCATAGCCTCTACCACCTGGCTGACCTGGGTCAGGCTACCCCCTAGGGGTCCCACAGCCCCTTATGCTTCCCTCCTCCATTGGTACTGCACTGGGACTGGGTCTCCCTGCTGCCTTCCCATCAGACTGTGAGCTTCCCCTGAGAGCAGGGACAGGGGATAGTGGCCAGCAAAGAGCCTGGCAGGAGCCAACTCTAGTGATGTATACATAAGGAGTAGGACACGAGTCCCAGAACCCCCCCGCCCCCAGCAAGGAGGAAGTATGTGAGGAAAGCTGGGGAAAGCCTGGGGCTAGGGCTGCTGCACATGTCCACCTGGATATCAAGAAGTGAATAAAATCACAGACTGGCCCCGGCCAAAGAGAAGTGAGAAGAACAGGGTGCTGCTCTGGTGATGTCCTAGCAGAGCCCATTACGACAAAGCTAGGCTCCATTTGGCCTGGAGCCAATTGCCTCTGTGGCCTATGCTCTCGCCCTCCCCCTCTCTGAGAGAGGTGCCTGCGGCCTGCTGGGCAAGAAGGGTCGGCGTCACAGCGATGAAGCATCTCTGTGGGTGCCCTGTGTGGGGAGAGGCTGTCTGCCGCGGCCCTGAGTGTCCCTGCGTGCCCTTGTGTGTGCCAAGAATGCGAGGCCCTGGCTACTCTTTAGGCCATTTCTTAGGGTCATGGCTGTAGCAAGCAACCTTGGGGGATGCGCCATTTCAGTTTTGCATGAAGGAGTGGCAGCTACATCAGTCAAGAAAGCTGTATCCCCAAGTCTGCAGCTGAAGCAAATCCACTGGCTCCCCTTGGGGGTCCCACAGCCCCTTACACTTTATAGGGGTTCCCAGAAATGCTTACGCCTGGTCCACTGATGGTTCAGCCAAGTTAGAAGCTAATGGTGCCGTGTAGAAAAAGTTCACACAGCAGGTCCAACTGCTATATTCTGAAGGGTCTGCTTACAAGGTGAGCCCCTGGCTGGCATTTGAGAACTTGAATTTTGGGAGTGTTCCCACCACCCTAACTGATAAGAGTGGCTCACTGTGCCTAAACTGTTCATACAAACGATTTAGTTTATGCTGAATACCTTTCCTTCCAGGAGTCTGGCATTTTGGTATATACTAGGTAGAGGGTGCCTACATGACAAAGCCAAACCCAGTGCCGTTGAGTCAATTCTGACTCATGGCAATCCCATGTGTTACAGAGTGGAGCTCCAGAGGGCTTTATTGGTTTTAATCTTTACAGAAGCAGATTGCCAGGTCTTTTTTCTATGGTGCTGCTGGGTAGGTTCGAATGTACAACCTTCCATTTGTGTCACCTGGGGACCTCTCTGGCCCGATAAAAACCCTGGGCACCGAGTCTCTCGTGAGCTTGCCTGGTGAACAACACTTCACACGTGTTGTCACAGCTCGCTGCTGGGGGAACCAAGTGTGTCCTGTGTGACTGCACTGGGAGAGGACCCTCGGAAGCTTGTGCTCTGTTTCCCCCAGATTTCGGCCAGGTGCCTTTTCCCTTTGCTGACTTCGCTTTGTATCAGTTTGCTATAATAAATAACAGCTGTTAGTACAACTATAAGCTGACTCCGGAATCTCCCTAGCGAATCACCAAAGGTCAGGTGGTCCTGGGGACCCCTGACGTGGTTGTTTATGGGCAGCAGCAGCCACCTAGCCCCAACAATGCTCCCTGTAATTATTGACAATGATGCCAAAGCTCAGCAGGTCAGCCTACACGCTCTTGTGTGGGTCATAATGGATAAAAGACTTGCCTTAGATTATATCCTAACCGTTTAAAATAAGGAGTCTCTGGGTGGTGCAAATGGTTAAAGCACTCACTGCTAACCAAAAGGTTGGAGGTTCGACTTCACCCAGAGGTGCCTCAGAAGGCCTGGCGATCTACTTCCAAAATATCAGCCACTGAAAACCCCATGAAGCACTGTTCTACTCTGACATACATGGGGTTGTCGTGACTTGAAAGTGACTCATTTGGTTTTCTGGGGGGTTTAAAATAAGATCTAGTGGTCCCCCAGAAGTTCGGGGCCCAGGAGGACACAGCTGAAGCCTATACTGCAGGCTGGCCTTACGCTGCTGCTTGGAGTCCTGTGGTAGTAGCCTTAATTAAATGCAGTACGAGGCCAATTGAACAGATTTGGTCCTAGCCTCTACCAGTCTGATCCCTCCACTCTCTACTGTACGCACCCCCGTCTGTTGTCCCAACCTGCAGCCACCAGGGCTCAGAGCCCATCTCAGCCCCTAGACTGAGGGCATGTCCAGGAACGTGGACAGAGCCAGGCAGGGGCTCAGAGGCTCAAGGGCAGGGAAGAGCGTGGCCTGGGCTCCCCAGCAGTCCTGATGCTCACCCAACATGGGGTACCTGTTGTACACTCGGATGGTGTGTTTGTAGTCTCAGGACTGCCCCCCAAAGCTGGGACCCACACCCCATGGATAGACAGGGAACCTGAGGCTAAGGCTGAGTTAAGGTCAAAGGACCCAGTGCATGTTAGGTGTGGACCCAGGCCCATCCTGCTCCAAATGCATAGCCCCAGTGCTGCACCCCAGGTGCCCCGGCCCCACCTCGACGGCCCAGCAAGGCAGAGCAGATGTGGCCAGGCCCTGCCACTCACCTCTGTGCGATCTACTTTAAACGGGTTCTGGAAGTCGGAGTCTTTCTCACTGATCCCCAGCTCCTGCGCCATCTGTGAATGAAGAAAAGCTGGTCACGTTTGTGTTCTCCTGCCTTTTGCTCCCCTGTGGGTCACTCCCTTCATGCTGGGACCCTGTCCGAGGCTTGGGCGGATGTGAGCCCGGTGACGACCCCTACAGACCTGGGTCAGCACAGCCGCTTGAGATGGGGCCTCTGTGACCAGGGTGCCCTGAGGCTCATCACAGAGAAGCAGCCAAGCATCGACACTCAGGCCACACTGGAGGCAATGCCAGGCTCGCAGCCCACACCAGACAGAGGGCTCCCCCGCTCCATCACTCGGGTGCTCACCAGGCCAAGGATGGGTGAGTGGGGCCCCTGGTCGAAGACGCCCGTCTGGTTGCAGAAGCTGATGCCCCAGCGAATGAGCAGGTTCCAGTTGGAGTTGCGGTCGAAGTAGTGGTGCACGATCCTGGGGAAGCGCAGCACCACGTCACCGAAGAAGGCCGTGTTCTCCACCACATGCGAAAAGGCTGGGGCAGAGGACCAGGAGTGACCAGGGCTGCTGCCCCTACTGCTCGCTTGCCTACCCCCGGGCACCCTCCAGAGGATGGAGGCACCCCGCAGACACCACTCAGAGAGGGGAACAGTGCCCGTTGACCACAGGAACAGTGCATGCTAAGGGCTTTCTGTCCACCAGCTCATGAAGTCTACAGAGCCACCTTTACAGGGGGATGTGGCTGCTGTTCCCATTTTACAGATGGAAAACTGAGGCTCAGGCAACTAACAAGGGACAAATCAGGTCTGCAAACCCACGTCTCTCTGACTCCCAGCCCCGAGCTCTCTCCCCTGAGTCTCTGTGCTTAGGGGACTGAGCAGAGTGCGGCCCAGAGGGGCGGGCGTCACTTCGCACATGGAGGCTGATGTGACATATGACAGGCTCACTGGGCTTGGCTCCCCTGACACGGCATCCAAATGTCCAGAGCTGGACACTGGCGTTAACACAATTACAGTGTATGTGGGGTCAGCTCTGTTAGAATGGCAGGGAATGGACTTTTTTTTTTTTTTAACATTCTTCCAATTTTATTTTAAATGTTTCTTGTTATCTTGACGGGCCCTGGTGGTGCAGTGGTTAAGTTTGAATCTACCAGCCGCTCCTTAGAAACCCTATGGGGCAGTTCTACTCTGTCCTATAGGGTCGCTATGAATTGGAATCAACTCGACAACAATGAGTTTTGTTATTTTGAAATAATTGTAGAACTTAACAAAAGTTACGAAAATACTATGTAAAATTCCTGTATACCTTTCACCGAGCTTTCTCTAATACTATCATTTTACATAACCATTGTACGATGATCTGAACCAGGAAATTAACATGTATACAATATTAATAACTTATCCACAAATCTTGTTTGAATTCACTAATTGTCCACTAACGTCCTTTCTCTGGTCAACAGGCCAGTTTAGACGGAGGTTAGTTAGCACGTCTATCATGGTGGCAGGTCCCCCAGACCCAGGTTACCACGAAGACTGGCCATGGAGGCTGCCCCTGTTCCAGCCCCCCTTGCACACAGCGCCCAGGCAGCTCTCAACAGCACTGGCCAGGGCCACCCCAAGAAATAACAGGCTGCCTCCAAAGAAATGCCAGGTGGGTGGTTAGACAAGTGGGGCAGGAACCCCTTAGAACAGTCTTGAACTTCAAAGGACTCGGGAGTTAGGCTGGTTCAGAGGGAAGAGCCAGGGCTTCGGAGTTGTGAGCTAAATCACTCATCCTCTTTCATCTGGAAACAAGGTAATGCCTTCCTCAGAGTTATAGAGGAGATTAGAGAGGATACTTATAAAGTGCCCCCATTCAATACATAAGGGCTACTTCTATCCTCTCCCAGGCCAGGTAGCCTAAGAAATTTATTTTTAAAATGTAACCAGTTAATGGGGGGAAATTACCACTGGGGAGGAATCCTTGGAAGAGGGGATGGAGGGACACTGAACACTGATTGTTTCATCTTATTTACCTGTGGTTTTCCCACCTTATGTCAAAAAGAATTTGGGGTTCGGGTGGGCAGGTGGGGCTTTTAAAGGAGTCCCTGGGTGGCGAAAACAGTTAAGTGCTTGACTACTAACCAAAAGGTTAGTAGTTCGAACCCACCCAGAAGAACCTCAGAAGAAAGACCTGGCAATCAGCTTCCGAAACATCAGCCTGGAAAACCCTGTGGAGCACAGTTCTACTCTGCACACATGGGGTCGCCATGAGTCGGAAGTGGTTTTAGTTTTACGGGGGCTTTCAGGACAGCAGTGAAGGGTGCTGGTAACTGGCCCTGCTGGCTCAGCCACTTTCACAGGCCTCAGCCATTTTTCCTTTAAATGAAACAACACTTCCCTACCAGAGGAGCAGGGTAGGGGTCCCCCCTCCCAACCTCCTCCAATGGGCCTACTGACCCTGCCCCAGCCCCTGGAGTGGTGATGGGCAGAGGCTCCTCCCTGGCTCCCTGCCTGACACACAGGATGGCACAAAGAAAACATCTGTGTCAGGAGGACAGAAACTGGCTCAGAAGCCCAGAAAGCTCAGAGAACCACAATAAAAGGGCCCATTGCCCAAGGAGACCACTTGGAAGGTGGCATGCAAGGGTGCTTCCAGGGAGGAAAAGAGTGACAAGAACAGGAAAGGAGCAGCTGGAAAAGATGGAGGTGGTGGGGGCGAGGGTGGGGTTGGGAAGACCTACCATCCTTCAGCTTCTCGTCCTGGGGGAAGGGTCCATCCGGGAGCACGTCGGCAGCAATGAGCATTGTCCTGGAGTCCTCCAGCACCTGGGGGAACCCACCTGGGCTGAGCAGTCTGCAGAGCCCTGCACGGCCTGGTCCACTCCACTGACTTCAGCCCCACTGCAACTCCTCTGTGCAGGCAGATCACCCCTCACTGCACACCACCCCCCGAGAGAACGCCTATTTATCCCTTAGTGCCCACATCAAAGGCCACTGGAGCTGTCCACCCTGAAAGACCGGGCCTGCACCCCGAGCTGCTCCCAGCCTGCATGCACCTTAAAGAGCCCCTTGAGCATGACGTCGAGGATCTTGTACTGCTGGTGGACGTCATTCAGCTGTGCCAGGTTCTTCAGTGCCAGCAGCTGCTCCCGGCGTTTCACCTCAAACATCTTCTTGTCTGGGCAGCAGTAAGTTAAGGGGCTGCCACTGAGACTCCTGCCGGGACAGGTCCAGTGGTCCTGATCCCCACCAGCAAGAATCCCCAGGGGCCATGGGTGCCTATGGCTGGGACCCCAGGGAAGGACCCAACTGTCCAAGGAGTGTATGCGTCCTAAAACGTGTCACTCTTCTGGTTCACAGGGGACTCCACACCCGACAGCCAGAGCCCAAGCCTCCAGGATCTGGCTCCTGCTCCCCCTCCCTGGGGTGTTCCCGCCATCTGCCACCACTGCTCCACGTCTCTGCTCACAGTGCCCTCCGCCTGGAGGCACCTACTCCCTTCTCTATAAGTTCCTATTCTTTCAAGACCCAGCTGAAAAGCCACAGCGCAGTGTCCCCCCGCCCCCTCCTGTGCCCCACCAGGGCACTGGTCACAGAGTGCAAGGCTGATCTGTGTGGAGACTTCCTCCCCCAGGGCTGTGAACTCCTGAAAGCCAGGGGCTGGTCCTGACTCATCTTTGTATCCCCCAAGCCTGGCCCAGAGGAGGTGGCCCAGCACACCAGGGTCAACGCGGGCCAGTAATCCAGAGTAGTGCAGAGTTCCCGAGTCCCCACCCAGGGTCTTACATGCAGGCGCTGGGCACCTGTATGATTCTCACTGAGCCCTTGTGGCTCGGAGTTGTGCACTGTCTTCTGCATTTGATAAATGGGGAAACTGAGGCTCAGAAGGTAACTGACTTGCTCAAGGTCTGGCTAGAGCACCTTAGCTTTCTCCCCTGTTCCCGCCAGCTGAGACTGCTCTATCCCTGGAATCCCCCAAGGGGTTATAGGTATACAGACCTCACCGCCAGACCCCTCAGTCATCTACTCTCAACTCTGAAGGATACAGATCTCCAGGCTTGGGTGCAGGGAAGTCCTCAGGGTCCCTGTGGCTCCCATCCCAGACAGTGCCAGGGCAAAGAGGAAGGCCAGGAACTGAAGAAGGTCCATATCCAAGACCCTGGAGCCAGAGGAGTAACCCAGAGACAGGGGGTGAGAGCCAGAGCTTGGCATTATGCAAAACAGAGAATGCAGGGGAACAGCAATTTCCCCAGGAGGGAGACCAGCCTTGACTTGGCACAGCCTCCAAACACCAGAACTCGGACGTGGGGAGGCCTGAGGCCCCAGCCCTGAGCCTTGTGACCAGCAGGCACACAACAAAGCCCATGAAGATGGCAGGAGGGAGGAAGGAAGATAAATGTTAGGAACGTAGGAATGCGTACAGCACAAGGGTCAACGTCTGAGAGCCCTGGGCTGGAGTCCTGGCCTGCCCGACTGTAGGACCTCTGGCAAGTTGCTCAGCCTCTCTGAACCTCAGCTTCCTCATCTATAAAGTAGGGATAAGCAGGCCACCTGCCTGCTGCAGGGAGGGAGGAATGGGGAAGGCACTGTGCCTGCGGACAGAGGGGTTGGTCACTATCACTCCCCCTCAGCTCCCATCCTGGCCTCCCAGGAAGGTGTCTGGTCAAGGAGGTCCAGGCCAGTCAGAGGGGACCTGCAACTTCTGGGTTTTCCCTCTATCTTAGTGCTGCTGTAACAGAAATACCACTAGTGGAGGGCTTCAACGAACAGAAGTTTATTCTCTCAAAGTCTAGTAGGCTAGAAGTCCAAATTCAGGGCGTCAGCTCCAGGGGAAGGCTTTCCTCTGTCAGCTCTGGAGGAAGGTCCTTGTCATCAATCTTCCCCTGGTCTAGGAGCTTCTCAGTGCAGGGACCTTGGGTCCAAAGGATGCGCTCTGTTCCTGGCACTACTTTCTTGATGGTGTGAGGTCCCCCGTCTCTCTGCTCGCTTCTCTCTTTTATATCTCAAAAGAGATTGGCTTTAGACAAAACCTAATTTTGTAGATTCAGTCCTGCATCATTAACATAACTGCCGCCTATTCTACCTTGTTAACATCAAAGAGGTAGGATTTACAACACACAGGAAAATCACATCAGGTGACAAAATGGTGGACAATCACACAATACTGGGAATCATGGCCTAGCCAAGTTGACACACATTTTGGGGGACACAATTCAAACCATGACACCCTCCTTCACTGACCTGTCATCAGAAAGAAGAAGGGCCAGAGGAGTGGGAAGGGAGGCAGAGCAGTCTTGGGGCAAGAGGGCTGCCACTCACTGTGAAACCACAGACACCCCATGCAGCACCTGCTCCTGTCACACAACATTTCACAGTTACTGAGGACCCGCTATGTCCCAGGCACTGTCACAGGGGACACAACCAACAAACCCCCCTGCACTAACAGCACTTATGTTCCAGTAAGGGTAAGAAACGATCAATAAATTTGTGAAAAAGAATGGAAAGAGTGGGAGTTGGTAGGCTGAGATATTATGTTCAGCAGTCAGGAAAGGCCTCGCACCCAGGTGACAGCTGCCCAATTTTACCAATACGGAAATCAAGGTCCAGAGAAGTGACTATCCCAAAGTCACGCAGCCAGTCACAGTTGACCCAGAAGTCTATTTGACCCTAATCCCAGTGCTCAGTCTCCTGTCTTTCTAAATGGGCACAGGCTGCCTCAGAGCTGACCACTGTGCTACCAAGACCCCTGCCCCAGGGAGGAAAGGCTGTTATAGACAGTGTAAAAATGGCACGGCAGCGGCATCAGACCTCCTCGACTAACTTCTCGAGAGAAAAGAAGAATCAAGATCGACAGCCCAAGGCTGATCCCTATGAGGCGGAAGTCAGACATACCTTCTCTCTCCAACCTTTTTACCAATTCTGACACCAGCCATCCCTCCTATGACACTCTACTTCTCTGCGGGGTTCGATAATTTGTTGCAATGGCCACACACAACTCACAGACCATACTCATGATTACGCGGTTTATTAGGCAAGTAATAGGTTACAATTCAGGATCAGGAACAACTCAGGATACAGTTCTTCAGTCAGGACAGCTTCTTGGCCATGCCCATAAGCAGGCTTCTCCCAGGCCTCTGCCCAGGTTGGGCAAGTGTTACAAAGCTCTTTAGCTACACCGATAAGTGCCAAGAGGCACCCCACTCCACCAGCAAGCCTCCTGCCCGAAGGTGCTCAGCTCTCTCACTCCATGGGTCAGGGAGCCTAGCTCCAAGTGCCCAGAGGCACCCTACTCTGCCCAGAAGTCTCCTCCACGAAGGTGCTCAGCTCTCTCATTCAGTGAGGCAGTGAGCCTAGCTCTGCAAAGCTCCCAGAGGCATCCTACTCTGCCAGGAAGCCTTCTGCCCAAAGGTGCTCAGCTTTCTCACTCTGTGGGCTGGGAAGCCCACCACGCCATCTCCTGCCAGTCTCCTGGTTCTTCTGCCGCTCATAATCATCTTGCACCGTCTCTGGTATTACAGCTGTCTCCTGAGTCTAGGTTCTCAGTACAGGGATCCCAGGTCCAAAGGACATGCTCAGTTCCCAATTCTTCTTTCTTAGTTGTAGTTTGAGGTCCCCTTTTCTGCCTCTAGGACGGCTCATTTTAGGACCAATCTCGTCGTTAGGGTGCCATGCACTTTATTTGCACGGTTCCACTCCCACAAGAGTGCCAGGCACCTTATTTGCATAATCTCACTGAATCATTTGGGTGGAGTTACAAAAGCATCACTAGAAAGGCCATATAAAAATGATCTATCACACAGCAGACAGTGACAGCCAAAAGGGGCACAGAATTCATCCCCGCCCCATAAGACAACAGAGAAAGGGCAGGACACGTCCAAAATCACGCAGGGTCCCCCACCTTCCACTTCATGCGTCAGACCCAAGGGACCCAGACCAAGGCTAGTGCAAAACCTGGAGGTAGGGAGTATCAGACAGCCAGCAATGGCTGAAGCAAAGAAGTGGGGAAGGAAAGCCGAAGGCGGGTGCTGCCTTCCCCACTGTTACTCCTATTTCTCCGTTCTCTCCGTCCAGCTTCTCGGCCGCGCGACCCCAGCGCACTTCTCTGCTCGGCAGGCGACTCTAAGGCCACTCTACAGGGAGGAAACTTAGGGGTGATGCAGTACTAGCGGGCCCTGGGCCGGGTACCCAGGCTCGCGGACCTGGGCTGCTGCCCTAGCCTTCGGGGCTCACGCAAGAGGGTACAGTCTTTCCAACGGGGACCGGGGTCCGAGGCCGCGCGTCCACTTCCGCCTCCTGCAGTGGGTTTGGGTCCCCGGTCCCCGACCCCCACCCCTAGGCGCCTCGCCACCACCTACCGGCCCGGGCGTGCAGGAAAGGGACGCGGGCAGGCCCCCGAGAGCGGAACGAGGGTCGCCAACCGATATGCATTGACAACCCGGCAGCACAAGGCGAGCGCAGCCGAGACCGCCGTGCGCCGCCCCGCCCACCGTGCCGTTGTGGCCAATGGGCGCCGGCCGCGACTGCCACGCTCCCTGACCTCACTTCCCGCCCCGCCCCGCCCCGCCTCCCGACCTCCGGCATCGGGTCGCATCCGGTCGGCTCGGTGCCCCGGCTCCTGCCGGTCGGGTTAATGTCAGGCTGGGTGACGTTGTCTGCATATGGGGTCTGTGCCCTCAAAGGCGCGTCAGCAAACGGGGGCCCTGGCGCTGCCGGCGGGTGACCGCCCACGCGCCCTCCCGGACTTGTTCCGCCGTCTATAACCGTATTTTAAACTGCAGTTCGCGAGGTCGATTCAGTGGGTCGTGACCAGCACGTTTTTGTTTTTAATCTTTTTCGAGGAACTCGCATAGCCCGCGGTGCAGAGTATGGGCGGCCCTCGCTCGCCCCTCCAGCCCACCGAGTTTGTCCGGGGGCTTCCGTCTGTGCGTTAGGACGGACTTCAGCCCGTGTTGTGCGGAGTCGCTGCAGCCAGCCCCCAGGAGCGGGGAGGATGGCCTCGCCTTCCCGGGGCCTCGCTGGGCGGGAGGGAGCTCAGAGGCCGGGCCGAGCTCTGAACACGAGGGTCGTGGAGCGGAGACAGACATTGAATAAGCAACGGCACACGTAGGTAGCGAGATGTCCGCTCTGAGGAGGGCTGTGAGGGGCGGGAACAGGGAGGAGAGAAGGACCTCCTTTAGCCAGGGAAGAGCTGAAGTCTGGACAGTTTCTCAGAGCTAGGAAGACTGAGAAGGGTTTGACCTGGCTCAGCTTCTTGCCTGGAAATTGTACCTCTCTCTCCACCTCCACGTGGAGTGAGGCCGCAGGTCAAGTGCCTCTTAGACCACTTGGGTCACACAGTCCCCATCCGCAAGGACCTCTCCCTGCCCTCCAAGCCCAAAGACAAGGACAGCCTGGCTGCTGTTCTCTGGGCACAAGGGAAGCATCCAGCTGGCGCTCTTTAGGTATTAGAACATCACCCTGCCCTCTTTCCCCTAAGGAGGCCAGCCATCATTCCTTGCTGAAGCATTTGCTGTCCAACTGGCTGGGGAACCAGCTGAAGGGAGACAAGACTAGAATGAAATGTTTCGGAGAGCTCACACAGGCATGTGAGGGTATCTCTGTATTTCCTGATGCCATTTCAACATTAGAACAGTGGAACAATTCAACGAGTGAATGGCTGCACTTGTCATCCATTTCTTCAACAACTGGATCCTGACTGTCTCCAGGCCTCATTTCTGGGCCTTCAAGCCCTGGGGGTCAGTCTCTGATGTGGGACAGGGATACGGCCACCCCTCCTAGGCAGCTGGCAGCAAAGCATGAAAGGAGAACAACAGAGATGTGCGGCCAACCATGGGGGACCACATTTCCACAACCCAAAAGGGCAAGAAAGGCGCTCCTAAGAATAGTGGGACGGATTCTAAAATTGGACCTGAACACCTGGGCTTCGTAGTCACTGTACGACAGTGAGCTGTTCCATGGGACGGGAACGATGAGAGCTAGGAAGCAGCGGTGGGGTAGGAAGGAAACACCCCTTTCTCCCCAACGCCCTGGGACTGTAATGTTTCTGGATCACCACAGTGACCTGCCCCTGCCCCGCCCCGAGGCGACTTTCACAGGGCCATGCCAACCTCCCAATGTAAGGGCTCAGGGAAGCATCTGTGCTAAATGGGTGTGGGTGATTCTCTCTGAAGCCTGTGGGGAAGGCCGAGCTTCTTCCCGAGTGTGCTGGTGTGGCTTTGGAGACACAAATCTGACACTGCCACTTACTAGTTGTGTGATCCTAGGCACCTCATTTACTATATAGCACTCACACCGGCCCGGTGCTGTTGTAAGCACTTTACACCTCTTAACTCACTTAGTCCTCAAAACAACCCTAGGAGATAGGCATTACATATACACTACCATTACCTGGCTGCTGTGGCTGCTGCGAGGATTAGATCCAGTGCCTAGCCCTCTGGGGAAACTTAATTAACAGAGAAGAGTTACTGCTACTGCTATCCTGTTAATTCTTCTCACTGACTCCTTCTTGCTTTAGAGGACAGGGCTGTAGACAGTGCGCCTCTGTGTCCTGAAGCTCTCCCAGGGCTGGGTTCGAGCCCCTCATGATGCCACAACTTCCTGTGGCCTGGGTGACTTTGCCCAGGCCAAGGCTCCCCAGTGCAAGAAAGGATACAGCATGTCCTGCAGGGGTGGCTGGGCTGAGGAAGCCTGGGCCAAAAGGCCCTCCAAGGATGCCTGCAGGGTCTGGGCTGTGCTGGGATCAGCCAGGAGGCCCATGCTCCGGACCTGAGGGATGAAGGGTGGGAGTCAGGCCTGCTCGGCGCCCACCCCACACAAGCCCACGGACTGCTTCTTCCCCCAGTTGCTGACACCGATTCCCTGCTTCCTACACTCCCGACCCTCCACTGACTGCTATGACCAGAGCACCCACTCTGCACAGAGGGCCGGTCTCACGGGAGCTCCGCGGCATCCCCTCCCCACCCACCTGCAGGAAGAAGCCACGCAGAGCCTGGAGGGTGGTGCTTGAGAGCGCAGACAGGTCTGCCAAAGCCGCTTCTTGTAGAACATGACCCACTTCTTCATGAGAGAGGATGCTGCTGCTCTGGAAACGCACAAACTGGCCAGAGGAGAGAATCCCACACCCAGTGATCCGGCACTGATCGCATCTGCAGACATGTCCTGTGCCCTCGCCATGACAGCATGGGGCTGGGAATGCAGATCTGAAGGCCACAAGGACCCTGGCTTTCAAGGAGCTCACAGTAGTGAGTGGTGGGGATCCCAGGGAAGGGGGGCCGATGAGGCAGACCCTGCGAGAGCTGGCTCCTGATGGCCCCTTTGGCCTTGTCCCCCACTTCCCTACCACCACCTTGCACCTCACACATGTGGACCAAAATGAACTATGTTTGGGCCCCTAACACACCACTCTGTGCTCTTGTACCTGCTGTTCTCACAACCTGGAGACCTTTCCTCCTCTCTGCCTATTCATCCTTCAAGCCTCAGCAAAATCATTACCTGCACTGCTGAATGTTCTTTGGTTGTATTAAAGAAACACAGGCATTTATTGAGTGCCTGCTACATTCTTACTCACATCTCCTTCCTGACTGGGGCAGAAGCAATGACCCTTTCTCTGTGTGTCCACGCCAACGACGGGTTCACCCAATGACCTGCTTCACTATTATTCATAGGCTCACAGCTTTGTTATTTATTCACTGGGCACCTCCTGCGTGCCAGGCACTTTGTGTATCCTCTGCTCCACCACTGACAACACTGTATTTTGACTATTAGCTTACTTGCTGTCTGTCTCCTTCTCCAGGCCGAGGGACCTTTAAAGGCAGAGAATGTTTGGTTCCTCGATGTCCCCAGTTCCTAGCATGGGTTGGGGCACATGGTAGGCAGGCCCTGGTCAATGCATCATGAGTAAGCAAGCATGAGGGTGGGTTTCAGGGTCTCTTGGGGTCCTAAGATGTGGGCGTTTAGGGGAGTTCTCTGAGCAGGCCTCTTGCAGAGTGGGGCCCGCCTGGCTTATCTGCCTTCTCTGAGGATTAGGATTACCAAAGGTTAAGGTGTGCCTGGCCTCCTTAGGACCACCCAGCTCATGACATTCTTCAGACCACAAGACCATCCCTTCTGCACTTACCAGGGTCATGAGCCTCAAGACTTCAGGTCTGAGGAAGGAATTCTCTCCAGCATCCAAGAGGGTAAACAGCAAAAATCGATTCCAGGGCTGGGAGGCCACATGGAGTGCTGCGGGAAGCACCAGGCCCTTGGGGGTTAATGCTGCGTTTCCAAAGGCCTTGGAACACTGCTAAAGAGGACTTTCTCCTCTTGGCTCAAAGAGGAGGGTTGCTCAGCTGGAGACAGGGAGAGGGACAAACTAACCCCAGGAGGTTTCTTCCTGCCTGGGCTGTTATCCACCTATGCTGCCTGGCTCAGTCAGACCACCCCATGATTGTTCGAGGCAGACACAGGAATGGCTTGGCCACCTAAGATCTTCATGACCTTGGTTGGGCACGTTCTGTGACCTCACTGAACCTCAGTATCCTCATCTGTAAAATGAGCGTGACAGTGCCCCAGCAGTGTTGTTAAAAGGATGAAAGGGGACGGGATTCTGGGGAGTGGCAGGGGTTGGCTTCCCCAACTCCCCCTACTGGAACAGCAGAGAATGGGGAGGGTCTCTACCGACATCTGGGCTCCGGGCGTGCAGGTAATCAAGCAAGGCCTCCAGGCAGCTGACACAGGACTGGGACAGCAGAGGGTCCTTCTGCAAAACACAGAAGTTAAGGTCACGTTTTGCTGCCAATCAGTTTTGGTGCCAACTAAGAAAAAATACTTTGTTGTCAGGGCTATTTGGATTTCAGATTTCAGATTTGAAATTTTGGCCCTGTAGGTAATCAAACGTGGTTTTTTTTGTTTTGTTTTGTTTTTTTTTTTGCTTCATCTCTCACCCACACACAGAGCACCTGACTCAAGTGGCTGTTTCTGAAAAGGAGACGGGTCCTGGGCCCGTGTGGCCACAGATTCACAAATTACTGACTCTGGCAGAGCCTGACAGTTTATCTAAGCCAGGGGGTTCCAACCCTTTTTTTTTTTTTCTTTTTAAAGCAGTAGAACCTTTCATCAAACAAAATCTGATATGCTGATAAGCACATGGAAAAATCTCAATATCATTAGTCATTAGGTAAATACAAATTGAAACCACCATGAGCTACCACTACACAACCACTTGTTGGGTGTCACTGAGTCGATCTTGACTCATAGTGATCTCCTGTGACAGAGCAGAACTGTCCCATAGGGTTTTTTAGGCTGTAATCTTTACAGATTGCCAGATCTTTCTCCCATGGAGCTGCTGGGTGGGTTTGAACTGACAACCTTTCAGTTAGCAGCCAAGCGCTTAACTGTTGCACTACCAGGGCTCCTTATACAACCAGTAGAAAAGCTAAAATTAAAAAGACTGACAATACCA